CTGTCAGTGCTCCTGATGTTGCCTTCAGTTCTGAACGCTAGAGGTGAGTCTTCCCAGTCAGTCCCATTATTGACATCAGCTGAGGAGTGCATCTGGGGATTTGGATACTCTCACTGCAAAGTATGGAAAGCAGGCTGATCTGCAAGACTCCAAGATAGGCCTCTGGAGATAAGAGAAGCATTGTGGTGATTCATCTTTAAATGTCCAATTCCTGAGCTCTTCCTTGTTGGATGACAGTTGAACTTTTCTTCTCGCCCCTCTTCTACTCTTGGATCCCAAGCTGGCATCTGGCTTCTTACAGTCTTTGACTTTTCTGACCACAACATCTGTCCCCACAGCCTCTGCAGCCACAGCCTGTGCTCCGTGGTGCCCTCAGAGCTCCAAGTGTGTCAATGCCACCACCTGTCGTTGCCTGCCAGGATTCAGTTCTTTGTCTGGAGAGCTCATCACCAACCCCATGGAGATCTGTGATGGTAAGGAGATTTGGGGATGCTGGAGGTGCACGTAGTGAATTTTGGGGATTATTTTGTAGTCTCCTGAGCCTTATTCCTTGATAGATTCATAGAAGCCCTTTGTCAAGGATAGAAGACAGTAGAAAGGTCAGTGAAATTAGAGGGAAATGGGCAGTTGGGGTCATGTGCAGTGGGCAGAATGATCAGAGCTTATAAGCCCAGAGGTTATATGTAGGTTTTCAGTCTAATTCTATCAGTGACTGACCCTGTGACATTTTGGAAATTATTTCTCCTCTTTTTTAATTTTGATACCTGTACATTGTTGTGTGAGGGTCTCCATGGATGGAATGAGATTCAAAATTCACCTGTGAAACCCAAATATGCAAATACAGATGACTGGATCAAGAAGCTGTGGTATACATACACAATGGAGTACTACTCAGGAATCAAACAAGGTAAGTCATGCCATTTGCAGCAACATGGATGGAGCCAGAAGAGATTATACTCAGTGAGATAAGTCAGAAGGAGAAAGGAAAATGATGGGTGGCTTAATTTATAGAAGAAATACACAGCAACCAAATAAGGGATCAGGAAAAAATAATAATCAATAAAAACCGAACATCACAAACAACTAAAATGAGAGACATTCTTCAGGGAAGAGGGAGGGTGAAGCGTGAAAACACAGAAGGAAGAGCACAAGGTACCTTGTTGACCATTCACAGGTGAATTGGTGGTGGAATTTTACATGTATCTTGTATAAAAATATGTTGCATAAAAATGAAGTTGTAAAATATAAAAAATAAATTAACAATTATAAAAGAGATTCACCTGTGTAATGAACAGGCAAAGACTAGTGTAGTGAAATATACTATACTATACCACTTTTTACTACTATTGCTATCATTATTTTCATAACACAAAGAAACAGAGAGAATTGTGGCAACAGCAGGAGCCCTCGCCTGGAAGCTCAGCCTCTCATCTATCTCAAGGTCACGGAGAACTGCTGCTCACTGTCTGTCGTGGCTTCCCACGTCACTCCTCACTGCTGCCCCCTGAGGCAAGGGGGAGAACATTGTTTCTGAATCACTCTAGCTGGGATCAAGGATTTTGAGTCACTTGTTCCACCACATAGATAATTTGGTGGTAGAACCTAGAGCTGAATCTAAGACATAGGAGTTTTTATTCTTCAACAACATGATTGAAAAAGTAAATTATATTGTTTTAAAATAAATAGGATAGAAAGCTTTATAACATGAATTTTACCATAATTAAAAAAAAAAAAACAGGGAAAGACACAAAGTGTCGGGGACCAGCCCCGAATGTCAGGTTGTAGAGAGGCTATCACGGGCAGAGTCTCAAGGTGGGAACGACGTCGGCGAGGCGATATTCTAAAAATTGGAGAGCGGGAGCGAGGAAGACATGGGAGTCAGAGTTGGATGCAAATCTTCCTGCTCTGCCTTCAGCAGAGGTTTATTTTTATACATTAGGAGTAAGTAGGATGATATCAGCACAGGAACTGGGCTGAGAGATTACAATCATCTTTGTTTTTCCTAAGAACAGTTTGGGGTTGTTTTGACCCTTGCTTGAGATTACAACATTCTAAAATCAATCAAGGTAAAAACAGGTACATAGTGCACAAAATCTATGATTAATATTACTATAGTGGTGATCAACTAAGATAGAAGTCCCTTAAACCTTATCTACTACTTAATGGGTTTTTGTTTTTCTGCCTGAATCATCCTGGGAGATAGAAGAGGAAATTCCTTGCTAATCAAATCTCTGCATAGGAGACATAGGTGGGTTTCTTTATCTAGAGACTACATAGCAGAATCCTGAAAAACTAGCCAGAAGACTTTTGTGGATTCCTTTAAGGTGTAGTAGGTGGAAAACTTGATTAGTTTAAAAAACAAGCAAACTGGATGAATTTCCACATCTAAAGGCCAAACAATAGGAAGTTTGAGTAATTCTTTAAAAAGCTGAATAGAAGGCTAGGTGAGATAATAGAATGATAAGATTTGGGTTATCCTCCATCCGGCAGTGAGAGAGACTTTGCAAAAACAGCCCTTTTACTTTTATTTATCAGTCAGTAGTCAAGTCACTTGACTTCAGGGGAATTTTTTCACCCTGGTGCAGTGCTTGCTTGTCAAGGCAGACAGGCCTTGTGTGGCCTAGGCAGTCCAATTGTAAGCTGAAAGTTGCTCAGAATATTTTGATATTATGATTATACAAAAAAGGGAGGTCATAACATGAGTTAACGTGGAAAGTCTGATTTTTCAGAGCAATTCCCCTCCATCCGGACCGTGTCTGACGACAGAGGTTGCATAGCTCGTGTCAACAAAGCAATTCTCTTCAAAATACCCTATCTGCATATTTATTCATGAATCAAAATATTCCTAATATGACAGCAAAGATAAAAATTATGTAGACCTGCATATTGGAAATGCCTCAGAGAGTAAAACTGTGATTTGTTTTATTCAGAGAATTGTATATTAGACCTGTGGGAAAGAATTGCAAGACAGCTGATTAAAAAAACGTTTGAAAGAATTAACGTCAACTTTTTTCCTTTGAATAGATCTGTTTGTTATTTATGCATACAGATTGAAGAAGTACATTGCTGAGGGCGTCTGCGGGAGAGGGTGGTCAGAGGTTTGGTGCACCATGTTGGTCACGTCCCTGGCCAGAGATCGAACTCATGCTAAAGTGGGTGCAGCTAGCTTTGTAGGGTTGTGTTCAACCTGTTGAGACCAACATTTTTTCCTTTAAGGAAAATAAACCCTGAAACATTTCCTGCAGCTTTTATATGATATGCATGTGATTTTATAGTTTTGTTTTTTACATTGAATTTCTCTTCTAACCATCCACATATTATTTGATATTTGGGGGGGGGGATTGTAGAATTTTCAGGAAAAAATAGATTTCGTAACTACTGCCTAAGTAACCCATGTCCAGAGGTTTTCCAGAGGGTTCCTTTGTGTATGTAGCTCACTTGTGTTGGTGAGCGTGGACAGGTGGTCCTGCAGCTAATGCATCCCAGGTCTTTCCTAGGAAACACCAGCTGGTTGAGGAATTCCCCATCCCAAGGTCTCCCCCCTATTTCTCATTTTCAACCTCACCCCACTAAACTCCATCCCATCCTGACAACCTTGAAGGTAGGCTTCCAGCCTTTCCCACCATGTAAGAAGAGAGGAGGAAGTCCTTTGCCCAGTTGATGCTGAACACAAATCTCTCAGGTGTGGATCCTTCCCACATCCTGTCCTGTCCAGGTGCTGACAGCAGCAGCCTGGACTTAGATGAGAATAAAGAGCTATGATGTGGGGGAGACCAGTTGCCCCCAAGTCCTATCAGGCTCTAAGGTCTTTGGCCCCCTGACTGAAATGCACGGGGCCAATTTGTCTCCATGCTTGGATTCATTCTTGTGTCCATAGTCCTTATTAGGTTGTTGTTTTGAGTCAACAGGTTCAGTCCTTGTTATGTGGGTCCCAAAGCTACTTTAAGGGGGCCTCTTTAGTGGTAGTCTCTGCTGTTAAATTTAGAATAGGGGAAGAGGTAAGCTGCCAGAAAACACTGTAGACACACAGTTGGAGAAGCTTCACGTTGCTCCTCATTTCACATCTGTGATAGATTCTGCTATGGGGTGACTTCTGCCAGGACTGGGTTAATAAGACTTTCCCAGAGACATCTGGTGCACCTAGAAACCCTGACACTGGCATGTCAAGGACTTCTGATTAGAAGTGAGGTGTGCTTGGACCACTATGAGTAGGGGAAATTGGAAGCCAGCAATGTGCATGGGTCTGACCATCTGGTTCCATACTCAGCATAAGGGATGCAACTGGTCCTGGGAGCCCTTCTTGTGACTTACCTCTTGACTGAGCTTTACGGGTGGCCTGCATGGCCCCTGTGCCATGGATGGAAACAGCCCCTAAATTCCTGATGTGCAAAAAGATCCCCAGTGGAGAGTCTGGAGCCTGAGTCATTGACTCTCTCAGCCCTACAGGCCTGCAGGGGGATGCAGGCCTCCTTCCAGCCCCTGGAATGACACAGTAGGGCTGAAGTGAGCTTTCACAGCACAGTGTCTGAATCTAGGTGTCCTCAGGCCCCTCTAGAGAGCAGAGATGTGTGGAGCCATCAGCCAACTTTCTGGATCAGCTGTTCCAGCCAAGCCAACCTAAGAAGGAAACTTGGAGGCTGAATCCATTCCAACCCATGGTGGGGTCAGGCTGGATTTGGGGTCTGCCCTGTGGAAACTCATGATGGTGATCCTTTGTGATGTTGCGTTCCAGACATCAACGAGTGTGGACCAACAGTGACAGTGTCCTGTGGAATATTTGCAGACTGCCAGAACACGCATGGGAGCTACTACTGCACGTGTGTCCCAGGATATGTGCTTGCGTCTGGGGGAACAATATTCAGGAGTGAGAGTGAGAACACGTGCCAAGGTAAGAGTGACTCCAGATTCCATTTCCTCCTCCATGAGACTGGAGGATCCTCAGCCCACTTTCCTCACACACTGGAAGTTACCTGATCCAGCGACTAACCAGGGCTGCTGCTCGGTCCATGCACCTCTGTGATCCCTCAGTTTCAGAGCCCTGCACAGAGTGCCACGTACACAAGTTTGGAGCATGCCCCTTGCCAGGCTGGCATCTTATTTTATAAATGTAAAGTGGGACGGCATTCAAGAGACTTCACAAGGTCATGCTGTTTGTTTCTCTTTGTCATTATCTCTGTCTGCTAAGATGAGACTTGATCCTTTGTGTTTCTGGGCTCAGCCACACCAGGAGCTTCTGGACCATGATAAGACAAGATTCTCTTTCCAGACATCTGGGAAGGTAGAGATTAGATGGCTGGCCACATCTGGAGACCACACATTTCTTGGCTCACTGACATGACTCCTTGGCTGCTCAGCTTCTATCTCATTCCTCCATGCAAGTTTCTTCCTTGATCTTCTCTGCCATCCCTCCACCCACAACCAATATTCAATTAAGGAGTGCATGAGCAGCTGGGATGACCAGGAGGATGCTGTGTTGC